AGTCAACTTGTTGTGCATGTGATTTTCTTCAGTTCAACCTCATTTCTTCCTTTCCGTGACTTTGTTCGGGAAGAGCATATTGGTCGACATCATACAGTACTGTCAGGAGCTCCAGTCAGGATAGGACCACCACGATGCATTCTTCCCTATCGACTGCTTCTCACGAGAAATGTTTTCATCCGTACCCAGTTCTGTTCTTCCTTCTGTGGGCTTATTCTACCACCAGCGTTGCATCACCATAACTCAACGCCAGCGACAGAAACCCCTGTGCACTTCCTACAGCTCTTTCGACAGTGTATCCGACAATGATACGTGCTCGCCTTGTCTTGGAACCCTTGAACAATGGACCGACCTTCGTCGCCGGAAATGGTCACAAAGAGTTCCGCACGACCGACCAGATTCTGTGTTGATTCTTAAAGAATGGAAACAGCCTTGATGGCCCTCATCAACTGTCCGGTTCGTATTGCTTTTGCTCCTACCCTCACTCGCTCCAAATTAGACACTCACAGATGGCCGTTTCTGATTTTACTATGCGGCCCGTTGCTTGGCTGTTCATCTCCCTATTCGCCGGCGTTATTCTCATACTTGCCATTGTATACCTCTTCGCGCTGAAGATTAGGCGTGACAAGAAAAAGGCTGAGCGCAAAGCCGAGGGCGACGAGATCTTCGCAAAAATTATCGAGAATCCAGTTACAATACCTGCAGCATAGGAACGCCGAATTGCATCACTTCCGACTTTCTCTCGGAAGTCCAATTGCGGGTTTAGACGAAACTGGGTAAAACTAAACCATCAGGATCCGCAGGCTATCCTCGTTCATGACTTCTTTGTCCTCTACGAACACTTTCCTGAACGCGCACATTGGCCCCAGACCCACGTTTCTTTGTGCTTGGACTCACCTGGGATTCGACTCCTCTAATTTCGACTCTTGGTTACTGTGTTCATCATCCGATTGCGACGCGAGCGAAGCAACCTATGTTCTATCATGATGTTGCCTCTGTCCGCTCTAATCATCCTCGCTACGGTGGCAGTCTTCGCCACGGGCACGTTCATCTTCGCAATATACTTCACAACCAAGACCAGGCTTGAAGCAAGAAGACTGCGGGATGCTGAAGCGGAGCAAGAACTACGTACTCCTCTGAGAGAGACGGCAGCAGAGCCCGGCCTCGACCCACGAAATGCAACACCACTACCACCGCAGCCACCGACGCCTGAGGCAGAGTCCCCGCCTCCGCTCCTGGATGACCCGGACGATCGAACAACAGGCGCAGGTACCGCTGGATCAGTCCGAGCAGGGACACTGCCCCCGTTCCTCCTACCCGCAACAACCTTCCACGCCAAACCTCCGCCACCACGAAGCTCTCCCCGGCCGCCAACCCTCGAAGCAGACTCCCCGCCACCTTTACCACAAGACTTCCTCGCCCGAGCAAGCTCCCCTCTGCCACCTCACTCGCCTCTCCTTCCTCCTCCCATTTCTCTCCCAGCACCAATAAAGGGTCCGCCGAAAGTGAGATCCAGAAGCAGAGGCGGGAACCCGGGCCCACGTCCGCCTTACCCCACAGACACCGACAGGCCAGATAGCATGCACGAGATTTACGATATTTACAGTAAATTGCCTCCCACACCAAAGACCATGCCAAAGAGTGCACCGTCGATGGTTACGACGTTCGCCCAGGCAGAGAGTAAGTGGTCCTATTTCGGGCAGAAGAGGGCAGAGAGTCAGGGAAAGGGAAGTGAATATGATGTGAGTGTAACAACATGTTAATACTGCGTGGAGTTATTATGAGCATGTATTTTATCTCGCCTCTAATCTCGAAATCTGATCCAAACACTTCTCTAGAGTAGTCCCAGTATTTATGCAACTCAAGTCTTCAACGTATATATCATTTTCGGTAGAAGGGTCGACTGTGAAATCTGGTCGAAAGCGATTGCATGAGGGACTTTGACAAGCCAAGAGCACCTCAAAAGGTAAGTACTACTCACTCATCGCCCGGCTGAGCGAACTTTGCCGGAGCCTTGCATTGCAGCCTCGTGCGGGGGGAAGCCAACCAACCGCCGCCAACCGCCGCCATCCCCGCCTTTGCCTGGCTCTCCTCGCATTGATATGCTACGCCACCATTCGGTCCATGGTTCAATGCTTAGTACGGACACTAGGAGCTGCTACGAGCAGGGCATCCTCAACAGTGCATTATACACCTTGCAATAACAAACGCCCGGCCTCACCATCAACATCCATCTGATCCAGGAATCACAACTGCCCCACCCGACCACACCCTCTCCCGTCTTGGAGAATCCAGCAATGGTCTCGTCGACCCCCCATCTCGACGCGCTGCGGCGCGACGGGTTTGTGAAAATCCCCAACCTCCTCCCTCAACACGTCCTCCTAGCGTTGCAGGCGGCGTGCAAATACACGACCGACCGGGCCCGACAGGGCAAGTGGCCCTACGTCCGGACGGTCCCCAAACAATACCCGCCCTGGCACGAGTGGCAGGCCGGCGACAACATCTGGGGGGTCCAGCATCTCCTCCACCCGGACATGAACACGCGCGACACCTTCGCGGAAGTCTACTTCGGCGACCCGGTGCTGGACGTGGTCAAGGAACTCCTCGGCCTGAAGAGGGAGGACGACGACGACGACGACGACGACCGCCTCGTCATGGAACTGTTCAACCTGCTCGTCAGCCCCGGGCAGGGCGAGGACTTCGAACTCGCGTGGCACCGCGACGACGTGCGCCCGGACGTGACGCCCGACGAGGAGGCGCGGCAGCTGGCGGAGAAGAGTCCGCTGCAGCCGCTGCACGCGCAGTACAACATCGCGTTGTTCGAGGACGCGTCGCTCCTCGTCGTCCCGGGGAGTCATAGGCGGGTGCGCACCCCGAGGGAACGCGACGCGCGGCCCTACGAGCCCGATCTGCCGGGACAGGTGGTCGTCGGGCTGCAGGCCGGGGATGCCGTGTTTTATGACAGCAATATCTTGCATCGCGGCGTGTATCGAGGCATTGATGCGGGGAGGGAGCTCGGGCGCATGACGCTCCACGGGTCAGTCGGTTTGGCGGGCCATGGCACCGAGCGGGCGAGGCAGGTCTTGCAGCACGGCGTGGGGGAGTGGATTGGACGGGCGCAGTTCTCGATCGAGGGTGCCAAGGGGGAGAGGGCCGAAGGCATGCGGAAACGGCTGGTCGAGATGGGGACTGCAAGTGGGAACGGGAAGGACTTGGGGTATTCTCTGGTGGGATGACTTCCATCGTACGCGAGCAGGAGTCTGGGGCATTTCTCTGGTGGGATGGGTTCCATAACAGTACGTACACTCGAACAGAGGATCTCTCCAGCACACCATACTGAGTAGTGGGAGTCATCTGACCTGCGCACCTTTGTACATGAGCACTCAAGCCTCGAGTTACCCGGTTGGACGTATCGACCTGTGAGCGGGACTGCTCTCAGCTCATCAGAAAGCATCTTGCCCTCGCACTCAGCCAAAGCCTGCCCTTGAACGTTCAAATCCAGACAAGTCCTCCCACACTACAGATAACCGTATTTATATTCCTTTTCCACATCGTTCTTCGCTACTCGCATCGACATCCTCAGCAACCTGAAGCTATCGAGGATAGATATCAGGAACAAAACACTAGGGGTGACAAATCGGTCAGCAGGAACACAGCAACCCTCACAGAACGCCACCGCCAAATGACTCACACGATGACCCCGGCAATCGCATTCAACGCATAGCTGCAGTACAGTCCGCCCATGCCTAGGGCGGCGAACTGATGCGTCACCAACTCGTCCGTCAACGCGATATTATGGTCGACATCGAAATCGTACTCCTTTCTCAAGTTGTTCAGCCGGACGTTCAGGGCGGCCAGCACGCCGGTCGCAACCACCCAGTCGATCAGCGCGAACGATTCAAATGCAAGGTGGACGGTCTGCTCGACGACCGAGCGGCCGAAGTCATACGCCCACCATCGCAGGCATGCGGTGGCCAGTGTCCACCCGAGCTGTAGATAGTCAGTTATAACGCGCGGTCAGGAGAATGGGTGGTAGTGGCAGTCGTCACGGTGATGGTGATGGTGATGGCAATGTATCCAGAGACGACAGAGAAAGCGGGCGGGGCACTTGGCACTCACCGACCACCATACGACGCCATAGGCGAATTCGGCGCCAAAGCACACGGCAGAAAAAGCCGCGAGGATCAGGGCCACGAAACCCAAGAGGAGCTGGAAGATGACGATCGCGGTCAAGGTGCCAGGCGAGAGCATGGCGCCGTCCGTCAGTGTGGACGAGGAACGAGGTAGAGTAAAATGTCAATAGCACCGACACCTGCAAAGAACAAGCAAGCAACTCACCTGCTGACAAGCTCTCCCTTAAGGCCTTCGAAAAGGGCAGCCTAGTAGCGTTCCAGCTCTGACGTCGAGTGAGCGTGTTGGAAAGCACCGTCCGGCTCCGAGTGAGACCAGTGACACTCGTTAAGCCTCTGCATCCGCGGAATCCGAGACGGTCGAAGGATTCTCTGGGCATGCGCTGAGTGCCTTACACAAGTCGCAGCTAAGCGAGAAACGGCATCCAGTGCAGTGCCCCTCACCAGTAGACGGGTACCTATGTCCTCGGTACGGTGAACGTGGCTTTTGCTTCTGTATCCTACGAACTCGCACAGCATAGAACTTGACTTATGCTTGCCGAGGAAGGGAAAATGGTCGCCATCTGCACGGACACCCGGCGCTTGCCGAGATCGAGCTGCAATGGGGCGAAGTGCTTCCTGTGAGGGGAAGAAGTACATGCTTTACTCATCGGCATTAGCACAAGAACAAGGTTTTATGTAAATGTACAGTAGGACGTTCACTAACTAATGCAGCCCACGTGGCCTTCCCCACAGTACTTGTTATTTATGCACGCCACGATTCGGGCTTGGCAAGGCCTAACTTCGGCTTCAAAGACGTTAGCTCAAAAAAACATGATATAGAAAATCTCCACCGCCGCTTTAGCTCTATCTTTCAAAATTTTAACAAAAAACAATCAACAGTCCGGATTCCCAAGTGGTCACCCACCTTAGTACTAACGAACCGGCATGTGGCTTAAGTACGGCTGAGCGAACGGGAAGCCCTGTTGTCCACATCCTATGGTCGATTGCGAGAGAAGATGTGCCGAAGTAAGATATATCCTCGAATGTGTGAACCGTGTTAGTCGTCTTTGGGGGATTTAGAGGACATTGTTCTCCCCAAGCTCTCAGTGTGTTGACCAAGTTTCACTTTTACATAAATAGGTCTCCAAGAAGATTCATCCCTTGATTCTCAGTCCTCACCGACCATTTGAGGTGTATTGCGGCGAAGGCAGCGCTTGGGACCTGTGTCTCAACTACTCTGTAGTAAGATTGCCCGTTCGCCCTGAAACGCGATCTGCCTCAGTCGATGTCAACCATGACGCATTCTTGCCTTTCCCGAGAACATCATGATCCTTGATGACGAGTATCAGGGTCCTGCGAAGTGGGTATCCTTGCACTTTTCTTCCGCCAATGGTTGACGCCCCAGCTCTTTGTTTGTGATGGAATGGATCCTAGACAGAAGTCACTGCCTTTGACGCGTCTGCACCTCGCGTCTTGCGCATCTACAGCATATTGCTTGCGTGTTGGAACTTCCCATCGCGCCGCTGGACGGAGGACAGTCCCTCGACTCCAGCTTCGCTTGCTGTCGCCCCCAGTTCAAATGTTTCAAACGCACTCCCACACATGTCTGAAGGCCTGATCGGAGCTCATACCTGAACACAAGCAGGGGCAGATTGTGCAAAGCCATTGACCTGATACCAGGCTGACAAGTCCGTTATCATGGACCGACCTCGTGCTTCTTTTCTCGAAGAACCTCTTCGAATCTTTGTGACAATCATACTAACACCACCACGTCACATGTGTTGCACCAAAGGAAAACACGGTAGGTCTCAACCACAAAGAGCAGCTGACCGTCTTTCACCCTCGTGGAAGCATTGTCAAACCATGGTCTCCGGGTGACAACGACAAACGCAATTCCTTTGTCGCTCCTTGGACTGATCACGCCCTTAACAATGAGCACTCTATGGTAGAGCAGAGAAAGAACACTGAAGAAAGTCTTGCATGCTGGAGGCCTCCCTCCACTTCCAACTACATTGATACTCACTATGCATAAACCCGCCGCTGGGAACCACATCCATCAGCCTGCTACAAAGTCGTGCGCATACCATCAAACAGAAACAGCAGCTCCACCCCGTCAAACATCATGGCACTAAGAGGCTCGAAGTCTGCCATACCGGTTTTCCTCCTCCTGGGCGTTGTACTGATCTTCCTCCCCATCGCTTCCCTCGTCTGCGTGTATCTCCAGCGACGCCACCGGCGCCGACTGTCCGAGGACTCTCGAGCTGGAACCGCAGATGTCGTCGCCGGGAGCATGCACCGTTGGTCCCAGCCCACAGCTATCGAGATGGGAGATTTACAACCACCACCACCGTCCGTGGCAATCAAACCCATTCGCGGCATGTCAGTGGGGAAGAGGCCTCTGCACTACACGATGCACGGCGCTCTAGGAGCACACGAGACAGAATTTGACAAACCCCGTGGCCCGACCACTGAGATCGCCGCCCCGACGCACACCGGAGTCGACGACGGGTACCGAACCTCCAGCCCATCTCATTTGGGTGCCGCATATCCTGCGGCCGGATGTCCCTTTTCAGATCCACCACCACTGCACAGCCCGCGGTATAATCTGCAATCAGCGCTGGGGAGCGAAGAATCGCCGGCCGGTGTCCGCACAGGCGGTGAGAGAAAGGCTTCGCTGAGCGACGCACCCAGAGTGAAGAGCCAGAAGGTGAGCCCGCAGGCATTCCACGGCTTCGAGGGACCGACTGTGTCCGAATTTGAGGCCACAACCCCAGACGAATATTCTGTACACGCACACCAGCAGCTGCCCAGGGGGTGGATATGAATAAGGGACGGACAGGAGACAGCCAAGGCCTTTGGTACAGACAGGACCATTCATGGTTAGGAGGAACCGACGGAGCATATCACGCCCTTTCCGCAATCATGATGATATTTCTCGCAGCATCCATGTCCATATCCAGATTCATATTGTCGTTCAGATTTTTGAGAGTTCCCCATTATATGTCTCGTTTCTTAGACCCATGCGTGCGGATACTGTCTGTTGTTGTTTTTTGTCGGCATGCCTAACATCCGCTCTCCAGGTTAGTGTATTGATTGATGTATATGTTATCCACCTCCAGGCCAACGTGCTGATTGATGTGTGTCATCCGCCCTCTAGGTCAATGTACTGATTGATATGTCTCGTGCGAAAACCGGCAGGAATGCCAGCAGTCTTGGGACTTCGGCTAGCCGGACTCAAGGCAGTGAACGGTGGAACGTGACATGCATGATTCTCAAAGTCCCGGCGAAAGGACAGGAAGAATACGATGATAAAATTGGCCTCCCGTCTCGTCACTCTACAAAGGACAATAGTGGTGTCCAGACGCGACTACAGCGACTTGGGCTGCGAGATCGTATCCTCTTGAGGACGGGCTCGAGATCGAGTCTCGTACAAGGAAGACAGTATTTTCTCTCTGATCCATATGTAGCATGGGTACATAGCTTCTGACCAATCCGTGATAGGCACCGTTTCGTTATATGTCGGCCGTGACGATATTTTTCCCAACCCCAGTTCTAATGAAATTGTCCAAGTACCCTGTCCATGAATTTCTTTTAACTTTTTGTACTTGCCCAACCCTCCCTTTCGCTGATATGCAACAAGATTCCCACAAAAAGAAAAAATGTGCGAGAAACGAGGTCGTCAGTATCCGTCTCCTTCCCGCCATGGTCGTCCCACTTCCAAAGCTCTCAGCCGCGGATCGGCGCCCCGATCGAAAGCCCCCTGCTTCAACTCCTCAAGGCGTGCCTCCATGCCGTGAACCGCCATAGCCTTCGCCGCTTCGGCATCAGTCGCGGGTATGCCCGGCTTTTCCGGCACCTCCTCGGCTTGAAGTCTCCGTATCTCTGCGCGCATGTCGAACCACTGTTCCAACCGCTCGGCGCCGCCGAAGCAGATCCCATAGCCGTCGCAGTAGCAGGCATGCATGGCAGGACACAGCTCAGACACGCCGGCGAAGAGGAACTGCCACGAATACTCCATCACTCGGCCCGAGAAGGTGTCACTGAGCTCGGTGTGGAGGACCCAATCCCGGTAGCGGATATACTCCTCGCGCGGAACGGCTCGGATTCGGTCTCGCGAGACGGCGAACTGCGCACAGCAGGGCTGCGAAATGGCCTTCGGAGGCGGTACGTTGGGGTGCAGCTCGGACCAGACGGCGAGAGAGAAGGCCCGCTCCTCCATCTTGCGGTGCGTGTCGAGTTCCTCGTCCGGCCGGTCGAGGTGCAACCAGTCAGGACAGCCGGGCTCGTGGTGGCATCGGAGGTTGAAGTATCCTGCGCGGGTGACGTGGGCGTCGCTGAGGTGCTCGATCGTCTTGATCATGTCCGAGTCGAGAAGGTCGTTGTTATGCCACGTGGTCCTGTGGGCGTGGACGAAGATGGAGACGTCGGAAAGATTCTCGTAGTGGTCGATGATATAGGACAGATACACCATTGCTTCATGGCCCTTGTTCCGTGGGACCTCGTAGCCGGGGGAGAGGGCGGGCTTGTCCACCACGTAGACGGCCCTGCTCACATTGAGAGTCGAGTTCTCCAGCCAAGATACATCTTCCGATTCCTGTCTGGCCACCACGACCGTCTTGGTGTAGGTCTGTCCCTGTCCTTTAGGCGTCCCGGGCAGGTAGTTGATGGTGACGCCCTCCGGGGTGTCCTGTGTTGTAATGACCGGCAGGATCTTCACATCCTGATGTCGAGGGAGGTGCCACCAGAGCAGAAGCACCGAGACTGCGGTTATGGCAGCAATTCCAGGTCGTAAACGCGACATGGTGGTCTCCCCGAGGACAACGGCGCGACAAATGAGGCTGCAGCACTCAATCCAGCCAGTGGATGGGCTTGTGCAGAGATGGGCGAGCGCCAGCAAACCAGAAGAAAAGACCCGGCAGCGCTACGGACTCGAGGCCTCCGTGAACAGGAACGTTCAGGTCTCAATCGCTGCTATTCACCCCGCAAAGGTACATGTATGTATTGTCTGCATGTAAAAGGATCTCAACACCACTCGTGGGACCAAGACGGCCTGTGTACCATTGGCTTGCCACGTGGGCCAATGTACTGTACGACTTGCCTCCGGGTGATGTCAAAGCGGGGGCAATGAAAATGGAAATGGGAAGGAAACCGCGAAAGAAGATTCTGAAAAGAAAGGTGCCGTCATGAGGCTGAGGTTGGTACGAGGAGCTCGAGAAAGCCATTACTTAACGGTGTTTCCGATTCTTTTCATAAATCACATGCTCTCCAAACAACGCAGTGGCAATGTAAGGTGACTCGGGGGAGCTCGATGAACAGAAATGCACAGGCTTCGAGAGGGCCACCCAAGGACTGTTCAGAGGAAGATGCAGCGGAGTTGGTGTGTTCCACACCTGGTGATGCGCCCAGTTGCGCCCGACGGTTCACCGTTTGAAGGTGACACGCCAGGGGCCGATTCCGGCTCCACAGGCACGAGTTTCCGGCGTGATTGGGCTTGCCTGAGTTGGGCGGGCCTGGGCGGGACGCCTACGAGCAGGGAGGGCCTCCGGAAATAGAAAGAACCCGCCTATGAAGGTGGTGCCTGTGGTGTGGCCCAACTGACGCCATGGAGCTTGTTTCAACTGTTTGTCGATCCCCAACTTCGCCTGTTACGGGAGCGGGTCTGGATTCAACATTCGGAACGGGTCTCTTACCGATGTTGCCATCAAACGTGTAGAGGAAGGTGTTATATACAGACCAATCAATATATCGGCACGTTGAAGGCATCAAGGTCATAGTTCCAGTACTCAACACTCTTCTGATCGAAGCGGCACTCCGGATCCGTCGCATTTCCTCGCCAGACCGGGCGCATATCTGCTGATTCTGCTCTTTGTTCTTCCCCTGCAGGACTGTGGCATTCAGCGTGTGCGGCGCGTTCTCATTTTCAACCCAGTCGATCATCACGGCCAAGTTCGTCTGGGGAAATGGACCGTCTGGCTGCGCTGGATTGGCTGCACAATGTGTCGCG